CATAGTACTCTCGTGCTTCGTTTTTTCCTGAGTTGCACTTGGCATCACATAATCTTCTTGGCCAATCTCCAAATTTGATGCATATGGTATTTCATTAGCACGATTCCTATAAACTCCAAATGCATCGTTGATCATGTTCTGAATATTGATCTTCGACAATGATAGTAACTTCAACCACATTTGGACTAGTATTTGGGGAGATGGTACTAGGTAGTACAAATGACTCTCCATGATGAACTCACACGGTGTATCCCTTTAGAAATGATGACGATATTAAGTGGTTGAACATGTCATTCCTACTCTTTGATTTTTTGAAACCACAACGTTTACAAGGGCATATTACTACGTCGTTTTTTCTTGCACCTTTAAATGCAAAACATATAATTTTTTTTATCCCTTGCGTATACACAATTGATGATTGTGACTTCGTAATTCATGACTTATCCATTTCTTCAAAAAATATAGATATTATAGTATATGTTTAAGAGCTCTGTGAGATGTTGGATCGAACTCTAATATGGTCGAAGTCTGTTTGTAAGTAATGCGTGTTGTAGTCGAAGTCTGTTCTAACATGCATTAGTCAATATTGCTAGGGTTGTTAGCATGTTGAATTTGGCCTTGCTTGTAAGCCCAATTGTTTAAGTTAGCTTGCACCCTAAGTTGGATTGTAATGGGTAATTGTTAAAAAGCCCATTAGGTTAGTGTGCTATTTTACTATAAATAGGATGCTAGTTTCTCAATCTTGGCATAAGGAAAAATAGGAAGATAAAATCCTAATTTCAAGGGAGAGAGGTTATTTTGTTATTCTTGTATACTTGTAATCTTGTTCTAAGAGAAAGGAAAGAATAACAGTTTAATAACCAATCCTTGTTTTTCCTTGTTTTTTTACCTTGTCTTCTTTATTAACCCTAACCCTTGTGTGTTTCTTGATAAGAAAGAAACCGTTTATACTTTGTTTAAAGATATCTGATTCACAACAAATTGGTGCAGTGAGCGTGGAAAAGATGCTTTCAACAAAGTATGAGATTGGAAAGTTCACCGGAGTGAACGACTTCGGTCTGTGACACTTGAAGATGAAAGCCCTGTTGGTTCAGCAGGGTTGTTTGGAAGCGTTGAAGGGTGAGGCAACCATGGACGTTGCGTTAACGGAAAAAGAAAAGACGTTGCTCAGTTGCAAGTTTTCCCACTATATGCAGTTAATAAAGCTGCATGAAGAAAGCTAGTTTCTTGATGTTATAGAGTTAGATCCAAGGTGGAGATTTGTGAGATGTTGGATCGAACTCTAATATGGTCGAAGTCTGTTCGCAAGTAATGCGTGTTGTAGTCGAAGTCTGTTCTAACATGCATTAGTCAATATTGCTAGGATTGTTAGCATGTTGAATTGGATCTTGCTTGTAAGCCCAATTGTTTAAGTTAGCTTGCACCCTAAGTTGGCTTGTAATGGGTAATTGTTAAAAAGTCCATTAGGTTAGTGTGCTATTTTATTATAAATAGGATGCTAGTTTCTCAATCTTGGCATAAGGAAAAATAAGAAAATAAAATCCTAATTTCAAGGGAGAGAGATTATTTTGTTATTCTTGTATACTTGTAATCTTGTTCTAGGAGAAAGGAAAGAATAACAGTTTAATAACCAATCCTTGTTGTTTCTTGTTGTTTTACCTTGTCTTCTTTATTAATCTTAACCCTTGTGTATTTCTTGATAAGAAAGAAACCGTTTATACTTTGTTTAAAGGTATCCGATTCACAACAAGCTCTAGTTCTACTTAATAAAAAATAAATCACCGCATATTTGTAGAACATATAGCAACATTAACAATAAGCAAACACACTAAAGTAAATCACTGCATATTTTCTCATGGTATTAGGTACAGGTAGTGTCAAAAACCATAAACCATAATCCTAACCTTAATAGCCACTCCAAAATAAGCACGTTTAGAAAATAATCGCAAACAATTAAGCTTGGACACTTGGCTGCATGAGGATAACTTATTCATTTCACTAATTTATCTTTATAATTTATCCAACAAACCCAAATTCAATTCACTAATTGATCAGAGGAATCATGTAATTTTTCTTATGTTTAATTAAATGACCATGACAATCTACTCAAAAAGCGAAACCAGTAAAATTTCTCCTCACATAAAATAAAGTAATTTGAAATCTTAAAAGAGTCCAAAGCTTGGATTTTCGAATTTGAAATCTTAAAACACCCATTTAATAATCTTATTGCCAATAGAAAGTTAAGGAAAGTAACAATTCTTGTTCCAATAAATTTGCTCAAACCTAAAACAAAACAAATGAAGAATTGAAACCTCATATTACATCTCAAAGTAACTTAGATTACACCTCAAAGTTAGTTCAAAAAAGCACAAAATTCACCAACAAAGGTTGTTAACAACTCTAGACGTTGAACAAAACTAAAAGTTTATGCTTGTTAAAAGTCTTGAATCAAATATTTTATACATTCAAACAATGAAAACAAGATCCAGACCTAGAGTATCCTAAACATACTATTTAATATGGTTCATTTTCAACATTTTTGACATGGTACACAAATTCAATCTATCAAACCAAACCATTGTATTTCTTTACTACACTGTAGATATTTTTAGCATTTTTAACATAATACAGTGGAAGTTTAGTGGCCTCCTTGTTTGGGTGTTGGGTTTCTACAGTATCTTAGGTCACAAGGAGTTCAGGTACGTTATAACATGAAATGAGATGTAGAGATTCGTTATTCTAAAGACAAGATAGTTAAGGTGAGCAAAGCATAACATGTTACACTATTTCATTACTTTAAATCATAATTCAAACTCTAGACGTCATGGTTATGTGTGAATGATTTTATTATAGCATGAATTAAATTTTCTACAGTTGCATATTACTATTTTTTCTTAAGCAAGGTAAAGATGAGTATTCTTTATGGAGATCAACCTTGAAACATGTTAATTAAAACACTAGTAAATTCATCCCGTAATATTGATCATTCAGTGTGTATTGAGTATATCTAATTTAATGTAAAATATGGTTTTGCAGGTTAGATCTCTATCTACTTGCTAATCATTCTGCCGCACACTCATTTTTTATGGGAGGTTGGGCAATGTTTTAGGCCCGCGCTTTCAATAAAGTTCGTCTCATTTTTTTACGGACTTTTGCGGGGCAGACATGCCTGTTTGTCACCCCTAATATAAGACGTCCATAAACAACTGAGGTTGCCCAATTGGGCATACCGAACTAACTTCCATACTCACTTATTAAACAAACGTGGGAGATAATGTGCGAAAATGATAATTGACCAAGGAGGTTAGTCAACAAGAAAAACATCTCCCCCACAAATTAAGGAAGAATGAGTCTTCCACTACTCGCATGATTCAGATCATGGAATGAGGGAGACCACCTTTTTATTTTCTAGTACAACCCAATGAATTTTCTATAAATATCTCAATTCCATCATTGAGAGGGAACAACCTAATTCTCACATAGAAAACCACATACAAAAAGTTTTCCACCCTACACGAGTTAACTCTCATTCCCGCAAAATACCAAAAAATCTCCAATAACCCTTAATCAATAGGGATTATCACATATTGTGTTTTTTAGCAAGAACATTATTATATTTAAGTCTTCTTTGAAATTGGTAATGAAAAATCATGTATTACACTTTTGACTTAGAAATTGAATGAATCGTGTTATTATTGAAGTTATTATCAATTACAATGAGAAGTGATATTTATAGACACGCTAGTCACCCAAATTAATTGTAAAATAAATTATACAAACAATCTGATATACTCACTCGATTTTATGAAATATCCACCCAAATATATCCTTAAAACAACTTGTCTAATTAAAACTGATATATTGTCCATTTGTCCGGATATATCCTTAAAACAAGTTACATGTATCAAGTAACCAACTAATAACCAAATAAATAATTATCAAATAACTAATTACCATAACAAACATAACAACCATAATTAAACAATATTACAATAGTTAATACTTGCATGATCAGACGAAGTGTCACATTTTTTATAATTTAAACCGATCACTCTAATACTCAAAACACATGATCAGACGAAGTGTCACATTTTTTCTCTTTTAAACTTCAAAACCCTCGGCTTAATTCAACAATGAATTAACACTTCATCTAAATCTTAAAATTATATAACCAACAAAACTTATGGTATTTGATCGGATATCATGTGAGGAGCATACGGGACAATTGCAATCAACTCCCTCTTTTGTCTATTGTCATCGAGAAGTCTTTGAAGAGAGTTTCATCATTATTATTAATTATCATCATCAAAATCAATTGACTTGTACATTACATAAATCCACACTTTCATCTTTTTCATCTCCTTCCCTCTTTTTCAAATGTCAAGATCACAAATATATTTCTATAGAATTTTTATTCCACCACGCAAAACCCAAACCGGTTCATTAAGTCAACCATTGGTTCCTCAGTTTTAATCGATTTTTTTTCCATTTTTATCAAACCCTAATTTTCGAATCATACAGGATCATTCGGTTGAACCATTGGTTGAGTTCTGTTCTTGCTGGTCCCCACTAGATGCTGGTAAGTGGAGAACCTGAACCGGTTACATGAACCGCCCGGTCCCTAAAAACTCGCCAATTGTTTTTTTTTGTTGACGTTTTTCCCAAAAAAAAACGCAAAAAAACGCATCATTTTCAAATTTGCTTGTTCCCGCTTCTTGTCACTGCTTCTGCCTCTGAGAACCCTCCGGCACCGCCGTTCACGTTCATCCAGGTCACGCTCTCTGTTTCGCATTCGCCGCCTTTGAGTCTCTCTGTTTCGTGATTCCGTTTCTGCACATCATTTCAGGTTTATCCACTGATTCTTCTGCATTTCCGGATGAGTTGTTTTGAGTAATTTAATTTGTGAGTTGTCCAATTTTGTAAACATTGCATCTAATAAGTTCAAATTCTCAAATAAAAAACCACTTTTCGGAATATCTTGGTCTTTGAATTACAGAGAAATGGATCAAAATCTGCAACGGGAATGGTCTTTCAATGACTTTGAGATCGGAAAGCCACTCGGGAGAGGGAAGTTCGGCAGAGTGTATGTCGCTAGAGAAGTCAAGGTACCCAATTTTCCCCTTATTTTTTTTTTTCAAGTACCAGAAAAATTCAATTGTTTTTTTGTACTAATTTTGAACTTCTTTTTTTCAGACTAAATTTGTGGTTGCATTGAAGGTTATATTTAAAGAACAACTTGAAAAATATAAACTTCACCATCAATTGAGGAGAGAAGTGGAGATCCAGATAAGTCTTAAACATCCAAACGTCTTGCGTCTCTATGGTTGGTTTCATGATTCCGAGCGTGTTGTCTTGATTCTTGAATATGCTCACAATGGTGAGCTATACAAGGAGCTTAACAAAAGGCATCATTTCTCAGAGAAGCAAGCTGCAACGGTAATCCTGTTTTAACTTAACGAGTGTATGGCTATTTTGTAGAATTACCATAACGAGGCTGGTTTTTGAACTAGGATTTAATTAGAGTCGTGAAATGAAATGAGAATAAGAAGTCATAGTTTCTTTTGAGAGAAATTTGGTTAAGCAACTGAAGAGATATTGATTGGGAAACTCAGCATGACTTTTCTTGAAAAATTAGATATGAAATATGAAGCTCAAATACTTTAGACTTTAGCAATGGAAAAGGATCAGTGTTCGACGTATCCGATACCAATATGCTTCTGAAACATTTTAACATATACCCAAAAAGCGTTCATTTACTGTTTTTTATTCCTTTTAACAATATTTCCCCCAATATTTCTCAGATCTAGATATGATACATCTTTGATACACATGCATACTGATATGAGTGGGGAAAGATATGTAACTATGCTTGTATGATATGTCTGATAATTTTAGCAGTGAAGCTAATTGTAGTGACATGCGGTGATGCATGACCTGCAAAAAAAGTTAGTGAATATTGGATTTGTAACTAGCTTGTTTTTTTTTTTTTACAAAAAAAAGTATAAGTATGGATTTTTATATTCTATGATTATAATTTATAATTGTACTTCCTTTTAAAGCATTTTTTTGTATTATATTGATTCTTACTTCTGTTCATTTCAAATTTAAAAATTTCAGTATATTTTAAGCCTGACAGAGGCATTGGCATATTGTCATGAGAAGCATGTTATTCATAGGGATATCAAGCCTGAAAATTTGTTGATCGACCATGAGGTGATTTTTATTATTTTACCTATTTTTTTGTTGCCTGTGTTAATATGTCAGTACAGTTTGAATAATTTAGTTACCTTCGTAATATTAAATACAAAACATTTCATTTCAATCCTTTTTGATAATCTTTACTGTGGATATATAACAAAAACAGTTGGGAATTAGTTTTAGTCAGGGGAAGTTGTTGTAGCAACTGGTTTGATTGAAAATGGTTTTTGTGACAGGGTCGTCTTAAGATTGCAGACTTTGGTTGGTCTGTCCAATCTAAAATGAAAAGACAAACCATGTGTGGGACATTGGATTATTTAGCTCCTGAAATGGTAGAAAACAAAGGTCATGATTATGCTGTTGATAACTGGACTCTTGGTATCCTTTGCTATGAGTTCCTTTATGGTGCTCCTCCATTTGAGGCAGAGAGTCAAATTGATACCTTCCAAAGGTATCCAAGAGCGTGAACTTATATATGTGTGTCTCTGTGTCTGCTAGTGAGATGATAGATTTAAATTTGTGCAGGATAAAAAATGTTGATTTGATTTTCCCTCCTAGCCCTATTGTTTCTTCAGATGCCAAAAACCTTATAAGACGGGTACGGTGGTTGTATTATATGATTACCTATCTGCATTTTCATATATATGATTAGATTGTTCTTCTTATTGCTAACTGTAAATTCATGCAGCTCCTGGTAAAAGATTCCTCAAGAAGGCTCTCACTCCAGAAGATAATGGAGCATCCTTGGATAATCAAGAATGCAAATTGTATTGGTGACTGTGCGTAGTATCAACTTTAGTCACTCGTCTATAAATAGTCTCGAGGGATTAAGTTGGGCTCTGCATCTATAATTGTAATATGATGAACACACATTTATGTGTTTTTCAGAATTCAAATAATGATTGAAAATCTGGAGACCTGATGAGCAATGGAGGCCTAGTTTCCTTTCACCCTTGGCTTCTTTTTCTATAAACATAAACTCAAATCATAAAATCAAAGTAAGTAAATACAACATACATAGTTAAGATATATAGATCAAGATCAAAATAAGTAAGTCAGTAGTCTCTAGTGTTAGACGTGATGATTGGATACGTCAATGTGATTTATCTCTAGTTCTTGAGCAAATGTTGTGGCTGCAGTATCATAAATACAACATACATAGCCTAAAGTGTAAGGATACAAACAAAATAACTTAAAGATCACTTTAGAAAATAAATAAATTTTAAAATGACGAATTCAAAAAAGGGTATTACTTCTCTCAACCTAGGTGTTGGAGAAGCATTCTAAAAAAATCGATAATGCCTCTGAATTTAGGAGGTTTTCGAATGCATCCATTTCACACCAAATATGTAAATAAATTACGCTTCTCTTTTTGTCAAAAATTAGTACGGATATACACTTTCGTATTCACCAATGCATTTCTAACCAAACACTCTCATTTTGTCATAAATTGATTCAGAGTTGCATCTCTGTAGCATAATACGAACTTACGCTTATGTATTCACCTAGATAATAAATTTTGATTTATTTTTAAAAATATACTGATGTAATAGATAATGTATTATAACTATACTATCATAATAAATTTTTTATAAATTAAACCATACACTTATCTAATAAAACGAAAATGTCATACATAAATGAATAAATCCTGAATCCATAATACAGTCAAAATAAATTACAAACGATAATACCATCCCTAATACAAATATATTACTACTGCGTATAACGGACCCCCCTGTTTCTGCGTTGCCTCCTGTACTGCAATGTCGTTTGTGTCTTAGTAAGAATGACATCTAAATGACCCTTCCAAAAGAGCCTTCGTGAAAGTCTCCTCTGTCTATACTCGAGCACAAGATCCATAATACGGCGATATGTAAACCACACATCAACGACACGATCTGCTCTAAACTGCTCATTCTCTAATATCTCTTGATGAGCTAATTTAGACGACTCTCCCTTAGTATATGATGTCATATAAGGATGTGACACTCTAAAATACCATTGGATGTAGTCGTATGCATAACTTAAGAGTTATGATACCTTGTGCTTCAGTCGATACCAAATGATTTAGGAACCATCATACATGACATGACATCTACATCTCTGCGGGTCATAACGAGAGGAACATAATCGGAGAGGCCTCTTGAAACACACTGCATATATCCGAACTGGAGCATGAATCGCTTAGGCAGATCTAGATACATCAGATGTGACCCACAAGCCAACCATCTAGAGTATAAGACTGACATCCAACATACATGTCTAACGTTGATCGTCGTACGACTAAAACCATATATCATCTGCTACTGTGCAATCAAAATACACTTTTAAAGTGCTCAATTGCCCCATTTCCTTTGAACAAGACAAATGCACAAGCACATGGCATATCCTTACTGTAGACATCAACATATGATCAGCCGAAGATGCGTGAAAAGTGTTGCAAGATCCATCTATGAAAATGGTACATATTGTTATAAAACTAAATAAAACAATATAAATATCAAAGAGAAGAAGAGAAAAAGAGAAAGTAATATTATATTATTTTCTTCAAAAGTACACTTTACATTCCAATTGCAATATAGATCTTATTTATAAGACCTAAAGAGATGGAAAATTATTAATAGGAAATAAAAAGATGAAAAGAAAAATACGGATGCTCATCCACTTTTATCTCTATTCATAACGTAATACAAGTATTATAAAAATGATACATAAATAATAAATGATGCAAATATGTTACCGTCAATAACGTGCAACTAACGGCCATCTGTGTTATCTGTCTGGTGTTCTAAAAACATCTTTCAACTAACTTGGAGTACAAGTATACCAAACAAACGATTTACAAACCATATATTTATTTTTCACTCGAGACATAGCAGCACACAGCTAAAATGTGAAAATAAGAACTAACACTGCTAAAAATTGATAATATCTCTGGCTTACAAATGTTTTTTTTTTCTTTCCGAATATCTTGTAATAATAATATGCTTCTACAAAATAAATCTAATTTCCAAAATCAAACTCTTATCCTAAGCATATTAACCAATAAAAGTTTTCGTGATTTCAAGAATTTACATTATTATAAAAAAAAACTTTAAATAAGCTTTTATACAAATTCAGATTCTGAAAAATGTAATAACTATCCTCAATATTTATATCATACATGAAAAAAATCATACTTAGCCTCATAACGTAATCATATTATAGGTGGAAACATATTTCATTAATTTACCAAAATCACCAATCTATCAATATAAATATAGTAAACAAGTTTACAAAATGAGAGAAATAAAGCAAAATTTTAAACCCCATGATGTAAGAAAGCATCTTATATCTACAAGATACTCATCATGTTCATGGGATTCACAACAATCTTAATACATCTAATCAAATCTAATATTTGGTAATCATAGTTGTTGAGACTATTCTTAAACACTTGTATCAGAGACATTAGCTCCATGATTAAGCTTCAGAGTCATTTTAATGTTCATTGCCGCTAACTCTGCTGCTAAATATCTAAATATATAAGGCATGGCAACTGTCTCCATGCCTTTACTGGTTTGACAAGCATGACAAGTGACCTTATTTGGAGCTCTTCGGGGTGGTAGCCCTCCAATCTCCCGGACTGTCTGCTTTTGAGCCTGGATGAATGTTGTCGAGAGCATGCTTCCACAAATGGAACACACATCAGCAATGTGATAATCGGAACAGGTGTGCAGCCTATCATGAAGAAGATATGCAGCCCCGTGTGCTAGTAGAGAGTCACGTTCCATTTCTCCAAATCGTATCCCTCCACCACGCTTTCGTCCTTTTATTGGCTGTCGGGTGACCTGGTCTACAGTGCCAGTAGATCGAACCTGTAACAGACAAATCACTTGGTCTTAACAACAAAAGTAACAACATCATAGTATTTTACTGACAAAGGGTGCAAACCAGTGATTGGCACAAGAGGGCACTAAACCTATCACCTTTCATCCGCAATATGAAGAACAATATAAACATTGCCGTGGCATATAAAATACACATACGTAGTTACTAAAACAAAAAAGTCACTTATCACCAACAATTTCAACTTTGAGAACATAAAACTTAAATTGCCTAAGCAAGCATTGATTTTTTTTTTTCAGACTCAGAAGACAACATGATAAATCTTGTAAATTTAGGATCAAATAATACAAAATATGGAACATCATTTTGCTGATTGCTAGTTTAAGAGGAAGGAAAAACAGTGAATTTGCTCACTTGGTATTTATCTGAAACCATGTGACGGAGCCGCTGATAATAAACGGGCCCAATAAATATCTCACACGTCAGTTCTGTTCCATAGACCCCACTGTACAGAACCTCGCATCCATGGTAATTAAATCCTTTCTCTTTTAACATATCACCAAGCTCATCGACAAGGGAAGCAGACTTGGATCCAGACTCCACTGAACTACGAAATGGAGTTGCATCTTTAAATTTTCCATGTAAACTTCCACCCTGCAAAAATCAATTATTATTCATGTTAAGAAATTCCTAACCAAGAACATAGACATGGCAGCACTAGATACCACACATGAAATTGATATAATATTAACATACACAAATCCATAATCATTATGAAGATATCTATGTTTTATAAATCAGCATTATCAAATCACTGTGGGACCCCAATTTTGTTGGCACAAATAAAAAATAAAAATAAAAAACAGTTAAAAGATGTAGCCCAGAAGGATCTAACAGGCTGACATGATACATGCCCAAAACTAGCATAGCATACATTGAAGGTTAAGTCCAAGAAAGAAGTTTAAGGGGAGAGACAAGTTAACACGAGAGAAGCAGCAAAGAAAGTAAGCATTTGGTCTGTTTCGTTCAGCATAGAAGTGGAGAGTAAAGTCATCTGGGACCTAATTTCGTCAATTTGGAGGATTTACTACTGTTTTTTTCTCTCTGTATGAGTGAAACGAGTAAGTTAAACTATTATATTAAAATAAATCAAATTAAATTAAATTTGAATAAAAATAAAATTCTTGATTTAATCTTAATTACTATAGTTAAACTAAACATTTTAATTAACTAAAATAAATCTGAAAACAAATAAATAAATTTAGTGGACTTGTTATTGCAGGGGTACTTTAGTACTTTTATAGATAATCAACACTATTTCTTCTATTTATGTCATATTTCTCTTGTACCAAACAAAACATCAAATCTACTCTAACTCTCTTTCTCTCTTCCCACTTTCTCCTTGCAACCAAACACACCCTAATGTTATGACAGTGGACCTATTACCTATGAAGCTTTACTATGGCAGAAAGGCTACAATAAAGATACTTTACAATCATGTCCAACATAATAGAACCAAGCACATTAAGATTGACGGCCATTTCATCAAAGCAAAACGACTGAAATTATTGGCATAACGTTTGTGACTACGAGTATGGCTAGGCCTAATTTTGGGTGGTTAATAAGCAAGTTGGACATTACTGTGCACCAACTTGGAGAGGGCACGTAGCAGTATCAGGCAAGCTACTCTAAGCATCATCCATGGTTCAATTACAACACTCCCTCTTTCTTTTTAAGTGTCAATTTTTAGAAAAAAATTTGTTTCCTTTTAAGTGTCATTTCAAAGTTTAAAGTGTATATACATATATATATATATATATATATATATATATATATATATATATATATATATATATATATATATATATATATATATATATATATATATCTATATATCTATATATCTATATATATATATATATATATAATATATATATATATATATATATATATATATATATATATATATATATATATATATATATATAGAGAGAGAGAGAGAGAGAGAGAGAGAGAGAGAGAGAGAGAGAGAGAGAGAGAGAGAGAGAGAGAGAGAGAGAGAGAGAGAGAGAGAGAGAGAGAGAGAGAGAGAGAGAGAGAGAGAGAGAGAGAGAGAGAGAGAGAGAGAGAGAGAGAGAGAGAGAGAGAGAGAGAGAGAGAGAGAGAGAGAGAGAGAGAGAGAGAGAGAGAGAGAGAGAGAGAGAGAGAGAGAGAGAGAGAGAGAGAGAGAGAGAGAGAGAGAGAGAGAGAGAGAGAGAGAGAGATGTGGAGAGAGAGAGAGAGAGACAAATAAATTAATAAAAAGTTAAGGGTAAAATAGGCAAAAAGATAATTATTGTTTAAAAAGTAACAACAATTATTAACTTTATTTCGTACATGAAAAAAGTAAAAAAATAACACTTACAAAGGAGCAGAAGGAGTAATATTTAATTCTTGATTTTATTTTTATTTTATTCAGACAAAGATTTGATTAGTATTTATTTCTGCTTATCATCAGCCCTGAATTCAAGGGCAACAACACCTATTATATTTTTGCATATATGAACAGTCCTATACTAAAATAAAATACGAAAGTAATTTCTTCATTACTTTCTACAAATTATAGTACCTTAGCCGCAACAGATTCCAAAAGCATAGCAATCGTCATTCTAGAAGGAAATGCATGAGGATTTATAATGAGATCTGGGCGCATCCCTGTATTTCCAGAAAATGGCATGTCAATGTCTGGCCACAACTGAGAGCAAACACCTTTCTGCCCATGTCTACTGCTAAATTTATCGCCAATAATAGGGTTTCGAGGGTATCGAAAACGTATGTTAGCCTGCTCCATAAAATTAAATGCATAAGCTAAAACATAACAGGGCAAACTCAATAATAAAAGGTTCAAGAGAACTACAAGCCCAATAAATAAATCGAAAGAGAATATTCTTGATATGCTAGAACTAAAACTAACACAAACCGACAATTATAGTAGTCCAAGATTATGTTAAATAGTAAATAAGGACCTTCTGATCTTGTTACTATCTTAAGTTTTACTATCTTACTACCCCCTTGCGATCTTATGCAAGATCTTGATCTTGATGACCTTGAACAAGGTACATGAGTTCCATCATTTTACTCTCTTTGTTTCCTCAAAATGGTATATACAAACAATCTAGACCCTAAAAAGGGGGCAGCCATACAATCAATTGCGAAATGAACAAAATTACATAATTAATAAGACCAATATGTCCTAGCCTATTCAGTTATTTAATTTTAATGTGAAAATTCATTAAAATACAGGAAGAAAATTACAACGAATGTTTTCAACTCACCTTCCTTAGATGCTTCTTATTTTTTACGTCAACAGAGACATAGTCAATATAAGCAGGTTCAGTACCCTTTTTTTTGAAGACAAATGTTTTATTTGTTACTTCATTGTAACTGCTACAATAGGGTTCATCTGGCCGTATCATCTGAAAGTGATACATTCAGAATTTTGTATAAGAAAGCTGTAGTTGTGAGAATAAATGGAGAAGGTGTGACAATAACAAACCTGACCAACATGTGGAAGTCCATCTGAATCAATCGAGGGACAAGAGGATTTATCTAGCTTACTTTTTCTGAATACTCTTGAAGATCGTTCTGTCGCGGGGCCTTGTTCTGCCAAGTCAATAGTTTCCGTCTGCCAAAACAATTGTAGAAGCAAGATTAAGGTCAGAAATCATAGCAGAAAATATTTTCTGTATATTTAAATAACACCAAATATAAGAAAACTATGCGCTGTCAGTATGTGAAAAAATAAAAATACGGATACATACATCATTGGATACATGACTAATCTAACTTAGTATATTGTCCAGGTTCTTTGTACATAAAATTAGCTTGATCCAGGACCATTGCCCCTACATTAGTTTTGGAAATAAGGACTTTCATACTCAATAATGACCTCAATACCAACACAGTTCATTTAATGTCGAGAGGTAAGTGCGGGGTCATACAATCCCACTATTTTTCCTATCACTTGTGTGTTGAATTAGCTGTGGATCAAGAGGATCCACGATGATTGCGGTATCACGAGTTTTTTTTCACATGAATGTAAGTCCAGAGTACTTATATATGCCCCCTGGATTGAGGACTAACCCCTACCAAGGACTGTGCACTACCTGCAGCCAGAGTACTTACATATGCCCCCTGGATTGAGGACTAACCTAGCATAGAAACATTGTGTTTCATGATTGAAACATCACTTGGCCTGAACAACAAAGGATGAAGTTGGAGCCTACAGAACTGTTCTTGAAGAGGTTCAGAAACTAACTTTAAAGAAAATCTCATTAAATAATCATACTTAATTCAGTGCAAAGGCGCTATCATGGCTGAATCAGCAGAGGAAGCTGAGAAAAGAAAAAGTTAGCAAGAGACTGGGACTCAAGAGAAACTTTCCAAGAAACGGAGAGTAAGCTCTCAAGGTAAATTTTCATGAGAAGCCATACCAACTTTCATAAGAAGCCAGCCACCAAAAATATTTTCACAAAATACACACGCGAACGGTCATGGCAGAAAATAAATTTAGGGGGAAGGCAGAAACGCAATGAAAAAAAGACAGAAAGAAGAGAGGGAGGTTAATTTCATGAAAGAAAAGAGAGCAAGCACATTGGGAGTACACAGACCAGACGTGTGGCCAAGATGAGAGAGGGAGGTCGCGGCCAAGATGAGTTCCACGACTGAGAGCATTTGCTAACCCACACAGGTGAAGAATTATTGTTTCTGAACCGGGTAACAAAATTGACTAGGTAAATTCACGCGATTACGATTGCAGAAACAGGCCAATCTTGCAATGAAGATCGAACTGCAATTACATACGAATACGACCCAGCATGGAGAGTCCCCTAAAAATCATAGAAGTGTACAGTCCTACAAGTAAATATGTGATCTTGACAACAAATTCAAGAACCAAGGGAATGGAATGATATTTAAATAATACAAAAGGGGGTAGAAAACTTGGAAAAATGAATAAGAATGAAGTTTCAATCAAAACAAAATTAAGTAAACAAATTTGGCTTTTTTTAGAGTAAACAAATTGCTAAAACTTCAAAGTGACAACAAAATCATGGCATCTCATAATGAGGTGTCGTGACTCATAAAAAGTTAACTGAAAGACATTCAAAAAGAGAAAGCTTAATCATTTGTGTCAGGTATCAAACCTGATATATTTGTCCATGAAACATTCCACGTTCCACAGATGACTTGTTTAGAATCATAGCATCCTCCATATCGTATCTGCGTTTGTTAACAAAAAGTTGTTGAACATAGCACAAAGAAGGTTAAAACTACAGCTGCCCAATTATATTAATTACCCTGTATATGCCAGAACTGCAACTATAGCATTTGTGCCTGATGGATATTCATCAATATTGTATTCAGTATATGCACTTGTCCGAACAAGGGGACTCTGAGGAGTCTGAAAATGTCACAAATATTGAACTTATTATAGTTGATGAGCAGAAAAAGTATATGGTATGCTTGTATCAGATGCCAGGGATATAACTCCTAAAGAACAACTACTATTGCTATTTCCCAATTTGGGTTTCAATATACCGAACATATTTCGATATGAAACATAAAGTCTGTTATTTCAATCAAACTGAATTGAACAAACCTGAAGATGATATAACTTTTGATCTGCACGATGTTGAATTGTTTGTGAAGAAAATGCCATTGTTTGCTTTGCCATCTATATAGAAAACAAGCAAAATAAAAAACTGCAACTAAGGTAGACCACCAACACACAATTAAAAAGATAATCCAACCTGACACTGGTACATATTTCGTGGGCTCTGATTATGATCTGACCAAGGTGTAAGATTAGCAACTACACTTAGCATTCCTGTTGGATGGATTTCCTCATGAGTTGGCGGAAAAGGACTTTTTCTTCCACCATCTCCACCGTCAGGACATCGTATCTCCATATAAACCTGAAAAGAAACATCAAAATACCACTTAAAAATTGAGAGATCCACAATTGAAAGTGCTATTTTCCATAAAGATGCATTTCCATAATTCTTTCCAAACAATTATATGATGCACCAAAATATCTATGTTGACCTGTTCAAATGGACCAATAAGTTCAACATTATCATCTCCATTGGAAGGAATTGATATATTTCTCACTGGGCGAACAAATCTTGAAGGGGATGTTGAGAGGTAGAGGCCAGGATATGCTCCACCCATACTCAAAGGAACATATCCCACTTCCAGATCATTTGGAATCTGCATCACATGGCATGATAGTTAGGTCAACATCAAGGAACAACTGTATTATTAGGGAACAAAAGAAATTTTGACATAAACAAACCGCTGCAGCAGATGACACTTTCAGTTTTCGAATGTGAGCGACAACTTTCTCAATCTCAATTGAAGGGATAAAACCAACAATACAACCATCTAGAAGAACAGTAAGAACTTCAGGTGGGCCAGGTAGAAATATCTTTGGCAATGATTGTGTCATTCCAATGTCAATTAATATGTTGAGTATAGACAATTTAATTTTAAAATAATCTTTAATATTTCCTTGAGAATCATAGAATGATGTAATCCCTGAAATAGAGAGGAGAGGGAAAAAACAATGAAGTAAGTTTAACAATAAATGAACAAATGACATTTCTGATGAACAATGAACATTGTTACTAGTCAATAAAAGTAACGTAACGAGTAATTTGGGATGTAATACTTTTAAGTTTTTACCATACAAGGATAATTTAAGAGTGTTTCACTTTTAATATGCTTAACACATGTATTTTAGACAGAATAACATGTCATGATTGTTGGAAATTGGATTGAGAGAAAACAAGATTACACCAAATTCCATTGTTTAGAATAGAGAACAAAACAAAGAATCCCCTAAAAAAATCCTGAATTATGCAGTAGCTAAAGCTTGTTTTAGTAAAGTAGTGAAGCACTACTTACTCTTTGTCTCATATTGAATGCTACTAGTAGTTTTTTCACACATATTTAGAAAAGTTGTGTATAAGTGAAAGAGTATACTAACAATTTAATAAATTTATCTTATTAACTGCTGGATCTGTCAGATATATAATCATCACGAAATTCTTCAATATGCAGGACTAAAGTACGGCCACAAAAGGACTAACTTGGTGAATATAGTGACATTTTGAATTTTTAGAAGGACAAATATAGTGACATTTTGAGTTTTTAACATTTAGGGACTAATTTTAACAACAGAAAACATAACAGAACTAACGTGACGTCAAACTTATCTTTGAAGGCTTAATTTGGGGACTACCCACTTTTCAATCATTTTTAAGAGTGGGAGAATATTAAAATAAAGAAAAAAGGGTTTAAAAAGAATGACAACTTACTACAAGTGCGAGTCATATGATTCAACAATCCACAGGGCCCCCCATCAGGTGTGTGTACAGGGCAAAGAAAACCCCAAGATCTATTCATTAAAAAGAAAAACCCTTAGAAAATAAACTGTAAGATTCATACGTATATATTATGACATGATCACGTCATCAGCTGATTATGTAAAAAGTTACTAACTCAGGCAATAGCTTCCGCACAGTTGTAGTACGAAGTCCGGCAAACAAAGCACCTCTATGGACAGCACGAAAATGTGAGAGAAATCGTAAATAGTTTAACCGTTCTGCCTGGAGTGTATAGCCTGAAACCTGAATAAGAAAAAGTAGTTCGTGAATAATTTACAAGGTCGTCAATTAAAAATAACAAGAGATTCAAAGCAATTAACCAACAAATATGCATAATTAAAAGCAATTAAAAGTAACATGGATAATTAACCAACAAGAATATAATCAGATAAGTATAGAATATGCTAGGGGAATATATCAAGTTAGCGAAGGGGAAGAATTTTGCTCAACAACTGAAAGCATAAAAAATGTAGATAAGTCGTTATTTAAAAAAAATGTTAGGCCCAATTGCTTTCAAACACAGGGTGTTAGGCATGATAACAGAACTTTACCAATGTTAAAATATTATAAAATATTATATAATATCTTTTATATTTATATCATCTTAGAATTTGTGGTTATGCGTTGCGCCTAACTCAACTTACACCGGTTTGTAAAGTGAGAATTGCCTCCACTTATAAACACATGTTCAAACCCTATATTATCCAAGGTGGGACTCAACACACCCTTTCACGCCCAAGACTGGAAATCTAAAGCGTGGATATAAATAGTAGGTGGCCTGATAGCAGATGATTCAACAGGCTTTAAACCAAACTCTAATACCATCTTGTTGGGGAGTCCGAGGGAGGTGAGAATAACAACAGGCACAATGCTCCAGGATCACGAGAGGAAGACCCATTCACACTTGCATCCACAATCTCTCCTACAATGTAAGTCTCTCACATCCTATAATAGGATCCAACACATGATTCAGCTCTCACTCCCCCACTAAGCTGAGTCATGGCTCTATACCATAGAATTAGACTTTGACCTAACTCTTTCTTACAAACCAATTTGTAAGATGAGGGGTGTCGCTCCATATAAAAGCTTTCCAAAATCTATCTATAACCAATGTTGGACTTGAGATCTTCCCAAAAAAAAAAAACAATAAATGCAATTAATAATTTGTGCAAATGAAGTAATAAAGCACATGTGTTGTACTCTGTTGTTCTAGAGACCTAGTGTGAATTGGATTTTGCAATTAAGACCTTTAGTGATTTTGATTTTGTAAAATTAATTATGTTACAAGTGAGTTGAACTTAAAATAATTTATGTTGGATGCATTTATGAAAATGTGAGTTGAACATTTAATTTTAGGGTAAAAAATCAATTCTAAAAACAAAAACTACAATTTCTAACTTTGAGTAGAATTAACTTTAAAGACAATCAATTCTACATTAAAGGAATCAAACATGTCAATCAATATCAAACGTGCGTGTCTCCTATGGAGAATATCCTCTGTCAAAATAATATTGTACTTTATAAAACCCAAAAAGTAATTAACAAATGTTTAAAGGTTAACTTAACAAAATTCCTCTCCATTCTTTGCTTGCCCCTAGCAGCATAATACAGACATTAAACTGAAAATTTCAAGTTCCAACAACTAAAACAAAAAGCTAAAAAGAAAAATAGCAGCCAAAGTATATATAGTACCCAGGCACGTTTTACTTTTTCAATGTTCCCCCTCTTTTAACATTTTAATTTTTTAATGTTCTTTTTTCCACCTCTTCACATTATACTATTTAATGTTTTTTAATATGATTTATTGTAAAATAAAAATAATAATAATAATAATAATTAATAATAATAATAATAATAATAATAATAATAATAATAATAATAATAATATTGGTTCCATATTTAATTCATAACCGGTATACCAGAAAAGCGCCTATATCTTGAGCATCGCGAAATTGAAATGCTATTCCTGCTTTCGTATCAGATAGCCAAAATTCCAATACGCAATACTCGTATACCGGCGCTATACTGAATATTTAACAACACTGTTCAAAAGTCAAATTTCTCCCTTTTTTTCTTTCTCCATCTCACGGGTTCCCTTTTTTCCCCCTCTTTCTTTCTCTTTTTCTCTTCCACCTTATGTTACAGTGAGTTTTTCTTTCATTTCTTTTCATCTCCATTATTCTTTCTTCATCTATCTCATACCTCCCTTACCAAAAAAAAGTTTATTTTTCTATCTGCAGCAGCTACACACTAACAAGGAACTTTTCAGCTTGGCATAACAATTGCGTTCAAATTTAATTTAATTTACTCATATGTTTGAAGTTATATTGCTATGTTTCAGTTTCATATATGCACACCATATGTTTGATAAAATGATATAGTGCATTCTCACAACCATTAAATCACTAGGCTTTATGTAATTGCTTTTTCTTCTTTATTCATGAATACTTCTATAAATTTGCTTGTCTATTTCCTCCCATTTATTAAAGTAAAATTTTTTTGAGGTTTTTTAATAAAGATTTTGTATGTTAAATTTTATCTATTTTGTTTGTTTTTTTTTTGTAAATTTACAATCATAACTGCAAAAAATATTGATATTAAATATTGGACAATACAGTGAAAGAAATTATCAAGCTCTGTCCCGCCAGGGTGCTTGTATTTCTTTACAAGATGCCAAGTTTTGATTCAGTTAACGACTGCCAACAGATTTCAGCTGCTGTTAGGGACAATCTCAAGAAGAATGTAATAGTTGACAATGAATATGCTGTAAGAATGTTCTTCATTATTGAAATGAAGGTATGCATATACATAATGGAGTAAGCTATATAAATTGAAGCATGTTTCTTTTGAAGTTTAAAATTAGATTAAAACTTAACTCTGTTTATAGAAAAGTGACTCTAACCAGCTGAAATTATTGTGCAAGTTATGTGTTGATAATTGCTCTTCTATTTGAAGCGCCTAAAAAAAAGATTTACTTAGAAGGATGCTCATTGCATACAGTTTGAATTATATTATACATTCTTGGAAGAAGGTATTTGGACACTCTGGTAGATAATCCATGTGTTTTTAGAAGACTGGATTAAGGATCCAATCGCTATTTACTCTGCATACGCATTCTAATATTATTTTTCGGAGTTCGATTCATTTATCCCCATTACTGTGTCGTTTGAGAGACATTTACTATCAGAGGTGTTTTTTATTGAATGGGAGCAGATCAATTTTGAATGGAGTTTTGATTTGCTATACTTCCCTAAAGAGAACATTAGGATTCACACTTTGAAAATCTTTTTATTTATTGAAAACATTTATCATGTTCTTGGTGGAAGATTACTAATGATGATAGTTAAATCTAAGAAGATGAAAAAAAAAACACTTGCAGTTAAGACATTAAAGAAATCATTTACAAACACAACCCACCCTGATGAGAAGTATACAATCCTATTTTGTTATGTCATACTCCCTCCGTCCCACAATGAATGACCCATTTGAAATAAAAGAGTGTCTCAAAATAAATGACCCATTTCAATTTCCAATGCATATTTTCCAACTGTGCCCTCTAATTAATATTACTTTCATTATTCCCAATACATGATAAGGACAGTTTAGTAAAAATATCATTCTTTCATTTATTCCTTTTTCTTAATCAGTGTAAAATGGTCAGCTGGACCACTCATTGTGGGTCGGAGGGAGTAGTAGAAACTTTATTGATATCACTTAGTAGGAAGGTTTTAATGTGAAGTTATATCAAATACAAAACCAAGGGACCAATAGTCATTTTTTTGACTCATGCATTGTGCAAGCTTGCAGGTAATATACAAAATTTGAAAGCATTATATTTACGAACTTTCTAATATTGTTGCAGTCACAGTGATTTGGAAGGTCTTCCTAATATGTAGACAATGGCAAGTAAAGAGCATATTTTATTTTATTAATTTGTTGGGAAATTACTTTAGTTGAATTTAAATTGTTGCTTCAAATATCTAAATTACATATCATGCAGATGGAATAAGAATATAATGCACCAACTGATTTAAAAGACCTAGTATCCTCACATGATGCATATTATATCATGTTGAACAATAACTATGCCGTGCAGGTTTTAAACTGGTAACTGCCATTAAAATTCCTAATAAATGCTATTGCAAAGTTCTGTTACTAATAACTTCCTACTTATAGCTGCCAACAGAAAGTTCTTTTAAATGGGTGGCTTGGCTCATTTATAGCTACATGATTGAGTCTTCCCTATCTTCCCCTATTTATTCTAAACCTAAACTCACAGCATTAATAAAACTTCACTGTCCCTAATAATATAATAATTTTCCACTAAACCTAACAGAATGCAAAAGAATATCTAATTACATGCAATTAAGTTGTAACTGTACAATTATTAGTATTGCATACCTATGAAACAGAGACAATTGGCAACCAGGAAATACAAACTGAAAAAAAAAGTTAATTAAGCAATGTGCAAGTCCATACCTGAGGCAGATCCAGAGATATTGTTGTTGACAATCTTCCAGATGTCAACATACTTTCAATTGCTTTGCTGACTGCATTTGCATGATTTTTTACCAAAACTTTCTTAACTTGTGTAACTGCAATACCAAAGAAGGAAAAGGTTAGAGATAGCAATAGATAAAAAAGGAAGAATGCACTTAGTTATCATGTATGGTCCCATAATTATTCCAGAGTTCATACAATAAGCATTTTTAACAGAAGTTAAACAAAACAAAAATCTACGGACATAGAACTAAATGAGAATGCAAGGAAATAAAATGTTAAAGGGTCCAATAAACATTTACATACAGTCATTGAAATTGAATGTCTCTCCTTTTTTCTCAATCTCGTCCAAAAGCATCAATTTTCCCTTCTCCAGCCACTCCTCTAGTTTTGCCTGGGATCCACATCAATAGATGCAAGAAATCAGCAAAATATACAAGACTCAAGTTTTAAAACCTGTGTATTGTTTGTTAGGAACAAAATTGCAAAAGTTTACACAATACAGCTCTTTAAGCATAACAAAGCCTTGTACAAAGAAAGGGAGAACAGAGTGTTCCATTTTGTACTCATAACATGAGATGGCAGCATGTCCCATAGTATTGGGTAATGCAGTGTTCTCGAGGGCAAGTGGAAGACCATGGTGTAACGCCAAAAATCTGCCATAAAATTACCATAAACTCCAAAAAAATTCAGCCGCTACTCAAAACCACAACGCAGTGCTGTTTGGTGTGGCAATAGCAACTAGGAGCCGCTGCGTTAACTCATCCTTATAATACTGGCTTAACTCATCCTTACAAAACCAACTTGTAAAGTGAGAGATGTCACTCTTTATAAACTCTAATCAAGCCTTATTTTTAATTTAGTGGGACTTGAACTTTTTACCCAATATGCTAGAGTGGCCGCTATTGACCACATAGAACTGGCCATTATGACTGACTACACTTTGGCCCATCAACATGAAAGAATAAGTTTTGGCCATTACGACTTACTACACCAATGTAAGTAATCATATGCCCAACAGACTGATATTGAACTACAATTGAAATTAATTTGATTCACAAATTTAAACGACATGTTCTAACTACTATTGATAATAATACAAATTATTTTGAAGACTAAAAACTGTATACCTTAAGATAAAGTGTAATCAGATGGCCTGGGAGTAAAACCTCCTGATTTTGCAAGCTATCAGGGTTATCTGGCACTGATGTCTGATCTATAAGTGAAAAAAGTTTCTGCAACATGAAGCTGAAGGGGAGATGAAAGGAGGGGCCGAAATCAAATACTAGACTGTGGGAAAACTATACATATAAGATATATCCTCTGCCAAATATAATTGTTGCCCATAAAAAACAACCATGTGGCTAATTAATCAATTCATCACACAGAAAAGAAAATCAACAGACTTACATGAGCAGATTGAACTTGTCAAAATTGTCATCCAGATGAACAAGTATGAAGTCCTTCAGAACAGCATTAGCAACCTAGAAAACAAAAGAACACATGAAATCACTAATCATAATTCAGAAATAAGGGCAAACGAAACCTTTCCTCCGATCAATTTAATGAAAGGATAAATTGCAACCTCCTTCTGAAGAGATGCCAAAATTTTGTTATTAGTTTATATGATGATATGAAGTTTTGAATTACCGTGCTATTGGCTTTGAGACTTCAAAACAATCAAAATCTTGCCATTAGGAGGCTTATTTACACCAAGCAGTATGAAAGTGAAGCATATATTAATCTCTCAGCAGAAGTCAGAGTGTAATTTTTTTAAGAGGAAAGGGTTGTGAAACTTAATTTCAAATGAGAGATGACTGTAATTTACCCCATATATGACATGATAAAAAAAGACTTACAGTATAATGGCTTTCATTTCTGAGTTCATGCAGAATAGGTTGGAAATGCTCTCCTGAATTTCAAATAAAGAATTAGTACAAAAACATGTGAATTGATCAAGAAAACAAAGGGACTTGAAATTAATTACCAATATATTGTAGACATTGAAGACGAGTGAAAAGAGACAAATCACGAACTTCATCTAAGATTATTTTTGCCCTTTCACCAACAAGCTGAGTTCCAACAGCCCCCTTTCCCTTTTCATACTTTTCATTATAACAGCTTGTCAAATTTACATAAATTTCGCGGTCAGTGGTGTCAATGAGGGCCTATTACAAATGATCAATAGCACCATTAATAAATCTTTATACAACCAAAGTTCAAAACCAAAAAAGTGGAAAATAAAGAGGCTGTTTAATAGAGTTAGTAATAATAACCTTCAAAAGAATACCCACAGGAAGCATGTACTCTCTTCCTTGTATCCTGTAAAATGCTATTATGATGAACCATCTGCTTAAACCTAAATCATATCCACTTTTTTATTGGGGTAAGGGAGATTATTTGTGTTAGGTCTTTTACATAAACTATACTTACCAGAAACCAAGCCTTGCACTCCCATTACGAAGGTAATATAATTTTACCGTTAACGAGGTTTGATCAGCTCTTACACACCTGAACATTTGAAATACGAAATCTTGAGAAAACAAAAACATGAAGTCTTCAAAATTGAGGAGTGAAACATTATAGTAATCAATATGCATAACATTTTGGACACAGAAATTACAGGTTCAAAAATTATAAATACAATATTCTTATAAATGGAAAGTAAGCAAGAGGGGAACCTTGTAGGGGGAAAAGACAACTAAATAAAATGAAATTAACCACTGACAATCATCTATGTTTCACAGATAAAGAAAATCTAACTTTTGGTTCACGGGCTGTGTGCTGTTAAGTTCTTCCAGCTATAACATTGACACTTATTGAGTTCAAATAAAATTGAGAAAACTGAAAACACAAATTGAAGAAATTGTAAAATGAAAAACTAGCTACTACAAAAGAGAGAGCCTTGGCTATTTATAGAGCTGAACAGACTAACCATCAAGCTGTAACTAACTGCAGTTAGTTACAGAAACAGTAACAGACAATTGAAAGATAATAAATATACAGTATATTAGTGAATAGTTTGGGTTTAATGAACCCGGACAAGTATACTCTTAGAACAACTTTTATAACATGCAAATAAACAAAGGTTTATTTATAACATCCATAGAAAAACTATTGTTGGAAGAGCTTGTACAATTCTTTTTATGCATACACAAGCAACAAACAATGAGATGCCAGACTTCCATATACCAAAATGAAGAACTTAGCAAAAACCAAACTTCTTAGGTATACATTTATCTTCAGGGACGTGAATTATTAGAAATCAATCCGAAGTACTTTTTGTCCATGGACTCATCAGATTTGGCTCCATCGCTCTCATTAAATACATATTCCACTTCAATGTTGTAGAAATATGGAAATATTTTATATATCTTGTAAAGAATACATAAGAGGTATTTATAGACTATACATCTATCTAAATAAGGGTGTAATTATTCTCCTATAAATGCTAATTATTCATAATAAGTTGTATAGGATAGCAGCTCATAATGAGTTGTATGATATTCAACATATTCTAATAATAATAATACTAATATTACAACACTCCCCCTCAAGCTGAGGAATGGATATCTATCATCCCCAGCTTGCAAGTAAGATCTCGAAACCGCTCTAAGGGGAGTCCTTTGGTGAGCACATCAGCTAACTGGAGTCCTGATGGGACGTACTGTGTAGAAATAAGACCACTGTCCAATTTCTCTTTGATGAAGTGTCGGTCTATCTCTATATGCTTTGTTCTGTCGTGTTGGACCGGATTGTGAGCAATACTAATAGCAGACTTATTATCACAGAAAAGTCTCATAGGAGCTTCATATTTTATTTTCAAGTCATCTAGAATAATCTTCATCCACAACAATTCACAAACTCCTTGAGCCATGGCTCTAAACTCTGCCTCTGCACTTGATCTGGCAACTACATTTTGTTTCTTGCTCCTCCATGTCACTAAGTTTCCACCTAAGAACATACAATATCCAGTGGTGGATCTCCTGTCAACAATCGACCCTGCATAATCTGCATCAGTATAGACCTCCATAGACAACTGCTCACTTTTCTTGAACAATAGACCTCTTCCTGGGCTCATCTTTAAATACTGCAGGATTCTATCCACAGCCTGTAAGTGCCTCTCCTCTGGATCATGCATGAATTGACTGACAACACTAACCGGATAAGCTATGTCAGGCCTGGTGTGAGATAGATAAATGAGCTTTCCCACAAGTCTCTGGTATTGAGCTTTATCAACCCTTGGACTTTCCTCATCACTCCCAATCCTGTGGTTTTGCTCTATAGGCACTCTGCTGGGTTTACAACCCAACTTGCCAGTCTCTTTGAGAAGGTCAAGGACATATTTTCTCTGAGAAATGAAAATGCCTTGTTTTGAGTATGCTACTTCCATACCTAGGAAATATTTCAACTTTCCAAGGTCCTTCATTTCAAACTGAGCTGCCAACTTCTTCCTCAAGTTCATCTTCTCAAATTCATCATTACCTGCTATGATCATATCATCTACGTAGACTAACAAAAGAGTGAGTTTACCATTTTGAGAATGCTTTATAAAGAGAGTATGATCACCTTGGCTTTGTTTATAACCCAAGGACACCATAACATGAGTGAGCCTTCCAAACCAAGCTCGAGGTGATTGCTTGAGCCCATATATGGCCTTCTTTAATCTGCAAATCTTATTACTTCCTAAAGTAGGGTCATATCCAGGTGGGATCTCCATATACACCTCTTCCTTCAAATCTCCATGCAAGAAAGCATTTTTCACATCAAACTGTTGCAACTCCCAATCAAAGTGAGCTGCCAAGGAAAGAATGATTCTTACAGTGTTCATTTTTGCTACTGGAGCAAATGTCTCTTCATAATCAATTCCATAGGTCTGGGTGTATCCCTTTGCTACTAGCCTCGCCTTATATCTGTCCAGTGTGCCGTCGGATCGGTATTTTACCGTATATATCCATCTGCAACCTACTGGCCTCTTGTCATTTGTCTTCTCAATAATCTCCCAAGTCCCATTTTTCTCTAGTGCCTGCATCTCTTCATTCATGGCTTGAATCCAGTTCTTATCCTTTAATGCTTCTTGTACTGATGTAGGGACTCTAATAGAGTCAATAGCTGAAATAAAACTCTGATGCTGCACAGAAAGTTTTTCAGTAGACACAAACTGGGATATAGGGTATTTAGTACAAGACCTTTTTTCTTTTCTCAAAGCAATAGGTAGGTCATCAAGGTTCAGCTCACAAGAATTACTAGGCTCAGGGTTAGGAACACTTACCTCAGGTTCAGACGATTGGACTTGTTGGGGCAGAACGGGTTTACCTTTCCACCTTTTTCGCTGGAACTGTAACTTGTATCTGTCAACGTTATTATGCACCGGTATTGGTACATCACCACCATCCTCATCATTATTATGCACCGGTATTGATACATCACCACCATCCTCATTAGGCATCAAAGGCTCTTGTATTACAGGAATAACAGGAAGAACAGACAATTCAGGAGACGACTCTGGGTCCTGTATTAGAGGAATAACAGGAAGAATAGACAACTCTGAAGACTCAGCTTCTTGATTATTCTCCCCCTGAAGCTGAGGATTGGGATAAAAAGACTCTGATTCCTGAAAAGTAACATCCATGGATATATAGACACGACGACTAGGAGGATGATAACACTTGTACCCCTTCTTATCTGAAGCATATCCTATGAAAATACATTTAATAGCTCGAGGATCTAACTTACCTCGATGAGGGCCATGAACATGGACAAAGGCAGAACAACCAAAGACACGATTCTGAAGACTTGACAAGATGGGCACAGACGGAAAGAATTGAGTCAGGACCTGCACGGGACTAACACCAGATAACACCCTAGAAGGTAACCTATTGATTAAATAAGCAGAGGTCAAGACAGCTTCCCCCCAATAAAATTTAGGAACATTCATTTGAAAGCGTAATGCTCGTGTGATTTCAAGAAGATGACGATTTTTTCTTTCAGCAACCCCATTTTGTTGTGGAGTGTTAACACAAGTCAACTCATGAACAACACCATTAGTTTTGAGAAAATTGTAAAAATTTTGGTTTACATACTCCTTACCATTGTCTGACCGTAACCGTTTAATAGGTTTTCCAAACTGTGTTTTGACCATTTGAAAAAAGTTAACAAACAATTGACACACTTCAGACTTATCTTTCATAAGAAAAACCCATGTAACCCGAGTACAATCATCAATAAAGGTAACATACCATTTTGCCCCAGAAATATTGGAAATGGATGAAGGCCCCCATACATCAGAATGAACAAGATCAAAGGGTTCGACACTCTTAGTATTACTAGGGGAATAGGTTGCTCGATGAGATTTGGCAAACTGACACACATCACAATGAAAGGAATCAACAGACACTTTGGTAAATAAGTGAGGGAATAGAGACCTGAGCATCTGGAAAGGAGGATGTCCAAGACGCCTGTGTTGGAGCCATATTTGAGTATTTGCCCATGACTCTGAACCAGCCTGATGACACTTACTTTCCTTATGACGCAGACAATATAACCCGTTCTGTTCCTCAGCAATTCCAATCGTCTTACCTGTGGCAAGATCCTGAAAAACACAATGAGAATGAAAAAAGGTTACTACACAGTTCAAGTCTTTAGTGAGTTTATGGATGGACAAAAGATTGTTAGAAAGCTTAGGGACATGAAGCACATCATTTAGATGGAGAGATGGGCTTAGGTGGATGTTACCAGATCCGACAATCGGGGTTTGAGACCCATTTGCAACGGTAATATGGTTTTTATTAGGTAAAGGTGAATAAGAAGAGAGATATGACATATATGGAGTCATGTGATCAGTTGCACCAGAGTCAATAATCCAGATATCTTTAGAACAAGAGGCATTAAAAGCTAAGGAGCTAGAATTCTTACCCATCATGGTCAGAGAACTAGTGTTAGAGAACTTACTCAAGGAGTCCATAGAGAGAAACAAACCGTCTCGAACCAGGAGAGGATTGAGATCTACTGTTAGGAGAGGATCGAAGGGCTGCCAATTAGAAACACCAACAACGATGACAACCGAACAATCAAGGGCTGCAAACAGCAAGTAAATAGAGGTACGGCAATGAAGGCTGTCCTAAAAAAAAGATGAAGGTGAAAACGTCCGGATCTGCAACGGCGGTTGAGCGGTGCACGATGGCTGCAAAGTCACCGAGATCACTAGGGTTCCAAGAGAAAGGGAACCTTGAAAAAAAAAGGACCGTAATAAGAACGGCTAGTGTTTTGAGCGCGGAAGCAGAGCCCCTAGAATCGGGAGCTCTGATACCATGTAGAAATATGGAAATATTTTATATATCTTGTAAAGAATACATAAGAGGTATTTATAGACTATACATCTATCTAAATAAGGGTGTAATTATTCTCCTATAAATGCTAATTATTCATAATAAGTTGTATAGGATAGCAGCTCATAATGAGCTGTATGATATTCAACATATTCTAATAATAATAATACTAATATTACAACAAATGTCATTTTAGCCACCAGAGTGAGCGACATTTTTTTAGTAGGGAGTGACATTAGGGGTTTTTACTACAGAGAATGCTATAGTCTTGGCCTTTTTGGCAAGGTGCAAAAAATTTAGTAAGCCACTACGGCCAAGCTACATGCCTGGGCAAGAAAAATACTAAGCGGTGACACTCTATTGCATGCAACTGGCCAAAGTGCCTAGCCTGAAAGACGAAAATTGCTGACCCTTATATGCCATCCCCTTAGCACCTTTATTTGTAGAGATTGTATGGCATGGGTACACAACTCCCATCTTTTAACTACTATGACCAAAAGAAAATTATAGAAACTAACAAGAATTGTAGTTCAGAAGTTATGTTAATCGGGATTAGAAAAATGGAAGAACATATTGGACCCTGTGACATTCCCCCTCCATCACAGTCAAGTCAATACTCTGTTGGATAAAAATAACTCTTCAAAACAAAACAAAAAATATGGGGGAAAAAACATTTCCTTTCTTATTTTCCACTAAAACATCATAAACGGTTAGAAAACTCCACTTTCATTGTGGTCCGCCCGGAGCCACCAAATTGTGGCATTTGGGTTGTCTTCATTGCAACCTCCAACACCTTCATTGTGTTGGGTATAAAGAGGTGGATTTAGTCTCACATTGTCAAGAGATATGGCATGTGTAGTGTTTATAAAGATCGGACAGTCTTCACCTTACATGCCGATTTTATAAGGTTGAGTTAGGCGCAACCCAAAATTTTAAGATCATATCAGAGTCTATTCTAAATATGCCGTTACTATATCGTTGGGATCTCCAGCATCATCCATGCTTCAGGTTCATTGGGGCCCAAGCATGAAGGGGTGTGTTAAGAATTTCGCTTTCATTGCAAACCGCCGCTAGCTGCCTAATTGCGGCATTGGAATGCCTACAATGAAGTCTCCACATATTCATTGTGTTGGGTGTAAAGGAGTTGATTTAGTCTCACATTGCCTAGAGATATGGCAAGTGTGGTGTTTATAAAGCTTGGGTTTCCCTCAGCTTACAAGCCAGTTGTGTAAGGTTGAGTTATGCCCAACTCAAATTATAAGATAAACATATGATGTCTTGAGTTAAACACCTTCCTTTCTCATTGCCTTCTCCCCTCTCCATCTCCACTATGTCTTAACGATTATTAACTATCAAATGTAGTATCAGAACAGGATCAGTACAGGTTAAAAATATTGAGGTGAAGCATGTGGATACTTGGTACAGGACTCTATTACACAAATAACAAAGAAAAATATGAAATATTCCAAAAAGTACCACATGTCTAACCATTCAGTTGAAAGACATCTTAAACCTTAAATATATAAACATCCAAGTGACTATTTTTCATTATACGGCAATTCAAAATAGCACTACCAGCAGCAGATAGAACAAACCTTATTACAACTGCTTTATCAGTATACCCTTCCCGCTTTTCACTAAATGAACTCCGTACTGTACTCATCGGCTACAACATTAAATGAACCAGAAAAAAAAATTGATGAGCAATGACAAGAGTTTTAACTTCATTATTAGACTTAAAACCTGCTCTTGGCTCCAGTAATCAAGTTATATGTTCCTGGACTAGTATAACAAATTTCAACTCAAGCACAATTTATATGTTCCTGGACTAGTATAACAAATTTCAACTTAAGCAGAAACTAATCTACAGCAAAGTATTTTTGAGACCAAAAGATTGCTTACATAATTTCGTTTTGGCATAATTATAGGTCGAATATATCTCTCAAGGCCGTTCACGATGAAGTAACTGGAAAGAAACAATGTGTGATAAAGAAACAGTCAGTCAACAAGTCAATTACAAAAACAAAATAATTAGGAATGAAATAAAGTAAGAAAAAAAACAGAACAAGGAATTTGAATTATGCCTTTGCTAATAAAACAATATAATTTTTCATATACTTTTCCAATAGAGCTGTTATGCTGATTCAACATTGATTCACAGATGGTAATATACAGTATTATCTAATTCAACATTACGTGGGAAGTTTAAGTGGGCATAAACATACCCGCCCATTTCCGATGCCTCCTCCTTCAAGGACACAAGTTTCCGAGGAGAAGCACCTCTCAAGTTACATCGCTTAGACTGCATTAGAACAAAAGTATTCATATATTCATATATTTTCAAAAGTAGATGACTAATAGCTAATTTTATGTCACTTTTACTATGGTTACCACTTCCCAACACTTTTACTTCATTAGAACAAAAACAAGCCAATACTACAAAGAAATTAAGAATCATTTATTAATAACCATAAGCATAAAAAAAATACAAACAAATCATGAAGGTAAGACGATTTCATGAAACAGAGTCTATGTTTGCTTTCTTGTCCAACATCCAGTTACATACAACATTGAGAGTCTTATCATTGTGCAAAGAATCATTTCTAAGCTTGATAAAGTATTTTTCATCCCATATCACACTCAAAGAACTTCTCCATTCCATTCACCCTACTTCCTATAGGTCCTTAAATCTTCTCACCACACCACATTACAATACAGAATAATATGGCATTTTAAAATATAGGGAAATATGTATTTTGAAATGCATACCTACGAGTATATAAATTATCCATAAAAATTATGTGCACGTGACGAGCAAAACAATATAACATGAACCGATAGTCAGAATGGTAAATTTCGCATTGTACAACCCATTATTCGGTAATGTGCTCCCTCTCGTCTTGTATCTAAGCTAGAAGAAAAAACACCCTTGAATAAAGTGGATTAAGTGCATTTAAGTCATGAGAAAAAAGCAAGCAGACCCTTTCCAATTTCACTCTGACCTTTTGCTTTGGAACGCGGGAATATGAAAAAGTTAGAAAAATAAATCATTTAATTTAAGGGTAAATTTGAAATAGAGACATCAAATATAATAATCAGAGTAACAACATTCACTACTGGTATCATCTAATTTGACTATAGATATAACTACATTCACATAAGCCAAAAAATTTGAAACTAAATGTAAAATCACAAAGTAACAAACCTTTAACATTATGGGAAACTGCCCAAAACTAAAATGCTCTCGAACAATAGCAGCATCGCCCTCATATTGAAGACAGACATTTGCCGTAAATCTCCCTGAATATGTGAGTTTTGCCTGTCTGCACTGCTCAGGAAAAAAAAATCAACAATAGAATCAAAAACTAAATAGAAAGACCAAATCAACACAACCAAAATCTAGAAAGTTAAAGCATTAAAAATTTGAAACTTGCCTCAAATGGATACAATGCCTGCCGTGTTGACTTAGCTACTCCTTCCTTCTGAGGCGGATGGAGGGCCGGTTTTTCCAACGAAAGTAAGATCCAAGTTAAGAACTAACACTATCAAACCCACTTCGAAACAGCCAGGTAAAATAAAACCAACCAATATTTCTTCAAAATAACTAACAAAAGAGAACAGAAATGCATAATTTTAAGCTTATTGAATCACTGTTAATTTCAAAAAAGGATATTTATAAGCTTTTTTGATGTTGAAGGATGAGTAACCACAAAGGATTTGAGGTTGATGCTTCTGAATATGGTTTCGAACCCAGCATCAATCAAATGGTCAAAGGACTCTATGTGTGGGTAAAAAAGCTCTCGCAGTTCATCCAAGTTCAAGTCGTCAGGTGAACCAGGTTTTGAAGACGCCATCTTCGAAACTCTTCCGTGACGATTTTGAGAAAAAGATGAACTAGGGTTCGGGTTACAGTAGAATTTGGGTACAGTTTCAGAGCTCAGCGATGAAATTGATTAGGGGTTTACAGTGTAGGGTTTTAGAGTTGGCCAGCAACCAGCAGATCGAATTACTACAGGTTTTAAACTGTGTTTTAAAACCCGGTTCGGACCGGCAGGTGAAACCGGTTTGATTTGGCCGGTTTTTAAAAATGGCGAACTGGTGGTTCCTATAACTCGAACCGGTGATAAGGGCGCCGTAAAAAAAAAAGAACAAAGGGTGTGGCAGCAGCGCAAGCGCGGGATTAAGAAGAAGATGAAAATTACTGGAATTGGATTTGGGCTTTTCTATTGAGCAACCGGGTTTGGGCTACTTTTTAACATTTAAATGAGAACTCTGCCTGCCACCCCTACGATTAAACCTCACATCCCCAACTTGTATAAAAAGACCAAGTAACTTCAAAAAATATTTTTCATATTTTTGAAATTTGCAGTTTAAAAGCGGAATTTTTAAATTTCAGGGACCTAAAATTTCAAAACAATTAATGAAAATTTCAAAAACAGTAAATTTTTACTGGATTTTCTATTATTTAATGGTATTTTGTACTAAAAATTTCTTATATTTTTTACTTGAAATTTCATAATTTTCGATAATTTTACAGAACATTTTAAAATTTTTGGTGCAAACCTTAATTTTTGTTATTGAAAATTTTAAAGTTTTCGGTAGTTTAGAAAACTAGTTTTGTATTTTTTTCAGAAATTTCAAATTTTCCGGTAGTTATAAAAATTTCGTTTTATACCAGAAATTTTGAAATTTTTGGTAGTTATTAAAATTTAGTTTTATATCGGAAATTTCAAAATTTCTGGTAGTTATAAAAATTTTGTTTTATACCGAAGAATTTTAAAATTTCAGATAGTTGCCTTTAATTTTTTTCCTGATTTTTTTTTCTTCTTGTGCAGTGAAAATCAGAGGCAGAGACGATACTATTGCAGGGAGAGCTACAAATCAAGGACCATATCAGGTTGGGGATGCTAGTGGTGTTGATGTTGAGTCTTCGCATCTACGGACAGGACGAGTGGTCCCCACCGATTCACACCAAAAGCATATGGTAGAGCGAGGGGATTTTCGGGCAACTCGTTCTACACGACGTTGACCAGTTAGATCAACAAAGCATGCTACAAATGAGGTGTTGGAAGATGTTGCCATAATTTAGCTGATGGGTAAGGTGGTTGAGCTGGTAGTTGATTGAAATTCTGGCACGCAGATACCAGATATCGAGACATATGTCACAACACTGGGATCAAAACACAGCTTGAACATACAACAATCAAAAACTGTAAATTGCAAAAAATAAATAACACCTTGTTAAGCCAGTTCGGTGCAACTCACCTATGTTTGGGGCTACCAAGCTAGGAAGGAAATCCATTATTAGTAGTATTAGTTCGAAGCTAAACAATCCAAGTTTACAACTCCTCACTTAAAATTTACCCAGTGCGATCTACCTAAGAACTCCTAGATATGAGAACCACTCTTACTCCCAAATCACCTCAGTGATATCAAACAATCACAATCTCAGTGACTGTATACAAAACAAACAATAGAAGTATCACACTTCCAAGATAATACTCGATCTTGCTTAAAAGTTTCAATCAAGAACAATACATTTTTGCTTCAACGCTTTAAAGTGGACAATGAACAATCAGTCAACCTCAATGCATCAGAAGATACATGAGTGACATACAATTAACAAACAGAAAACCCTAAAGATCAAGCAAAACAACGGCTATTCCTTATTACACAAAATTATCATGTTATGCTCTCTTACTCCAATAGGGTTTTTCTTCACTTTAAATAGCCTTCGGACCTACTGAACTTGGGCTTCTTGAGGCGCATAAATAGCAGCAATCAGTATAAACTGGCTGCAAATCGACCTGCATAATAATACGATAAAAAACAAACTTTTCTAAAAAGGCTCAAGGAACCTTTTTATGAAAATAAACAGAATATGCAATAACAGAAATTCCCACAATATACTCCCATAAAAGTCGCCCATGTGTGCATTAGAACACACTCAAAATTCACACTAAAATTACCAAAATAGTCATGCTCTAACTATCTGGTATAACACGTTCTGAAACATGTCACAACATCATGTAGAACATGATGCCTGACTGACATGGCAGAACATCTAGTTCAACATCTTGCTAACAGCATGTTGTTTTACCAAAATGTAGTCAATCCAAAAACCACATGACTTACAATCTCTCCCTTTGGAAAATTTTGTCTAAAACAACCCTAGCCCACATCAGAAATGCACAAGCAGAAACAAACATGAACAAAAAAACCAAAGAACCATAATGTTATCAAACCAATAACGAAAAAAAATACCTGACAACATAATGTCAAGATATTAGGTCTGACATCACAAACCAACACAAGCTACATGAGAACATGTAAGCTCTGTACAAACTGCAATCTTGCAGCAGCAAAATAGACATGTACGTCACTCCCCCTGTCACACATAATCAGTACTCCCCCTGAAGGGGAAAAACCAACAAAAAAATAAAACATGAACTTCCATGCAAGTTCGTACAATAGAACCACACTCCAAAAACACAAGCACACTCCCCCTAAATACCACAACCTACTGCAGCGAATAATGCATTCTCCCAGACACAGCAAATGGATTCACACTAACAAGTTCATGCACCCCCTAAAAAAAGGTTTACGCACATTGCACACGAGCAACAACAACCAACTACTCTTCCTAAGCAATAGTACAAACATGACATAAAGTTATGACATCTGATCTAACATTAGGAATAGCAAACAAAACAACACTTTACTCCCCCTTTTTAGCCAAAAATTGACAAAAGAAAATAACTAAATGTAAACATAAATGGAATCACACACATGGAAGCACAAGCATACATCACAAGTTCAGATGGAAACAAAAAATGCATAATGCAACCACATGATTGGAAACACAAACAGTAACAATCATTGCTTCCTCTAGGACAGCAAACAAAAACAAATTCATATGGTGCAAAAAAAATCCTGGGCAACACCCAAAAATGATAAAAACAACAAGACAAATAGAATCATTCATCAGTTGTTAGTGGAATCATCTATTCTTCTGGTAGCACGACTTGTATCATCATCACCATCATTGTCCCCTTCAATATTATTACCAACAACATGCCTTTTGTAACACTCCAAAATAATTAGAATGTTTATTTAATTGATTTATTATAAATATTTGTATTTTCCGGTGAATTTTGGTGAAATATTTTGATGTCTGATGATTTGTGTTGTGGGGTATTCATGTTGCTAAGAGAGTATTGAGAACACCTAGAAGTATATGATTATTAGAATTATTTTGATAGTAATAATATTGGATAATGTGAATATCTTATTACTATTATTTTAAATAAATAATTAGAACACTAAGGGAAAGATGGTAATGTTGGGTGGATTAAGTGGGGATAAAGTTGGGAAATCATATTAAGGGTCCTAAGGGTAAGTTTGACAAAAGGAAAAGAGGAATGGGAGAAGTTCAGTGTTGAACGATCGTGTTTTGGAGAGAACTCTGAAGAGAGAAGGAGGAGAAGCTAGATCATAGAGATAACACAGAAGAACTCAAAGGGAAGGTCAAAATCAAATTGTTTAAGGTATGGGGAGTATCTATTGCCGTTATAATTGATATAAGGTTAGAGATATATGAGTAGTTGGGGTTTTAGGGGATTTTGGAATTATGATGAAGATATGATGGAATTGTTGACTTAGAAATGTGATGTGGTAGTCGTTTGTTTTCCTTGGGATTTAAGTGTATTTTCAAACTGTATAGTGTTGGAAACATAAGGAGGATTGGGTCTGAACTGGTGCAGAATCGCAACAGAGAAGTTGCAAGTTCGCAACTTTTCACCGGGGGAGTTACCTATGTCGTCGGGCGAAGTATTTTCGCCCCAACCTCGCCAGGCGAAAGTAGAGGCAAAAAGAAAGTGAAGAATGGGTGTTCCTGTGTTTTATATAGGGAAGGAAATTCGCCCCTGCTTCTCCGGGCGAAACCCAAGCGTGCGAGCTGCTTTGAAGGGCGAACACCAGACGTGCAGGAGCTGTGAATTTTATCTTCTTTTCTTTTTGGGTCGTCTTGTGTCTTGTGTCTTGTTGTCCATATGCCTTGAGTAATTGATGTGATATATTTTGGTGACTATAACATGATGTTTTGTGATGTGAAGAATTGTGATGCATAATAATGATATAATATCATGATGTTTTGATGAATTTTCATGAATGATGATGCAACTTGACGATCCGGTGATGATGTTGATTATGGCGTAGTGCATCATGCATTCATAGCATAGCAGGACTTCAGTTCAGTGTTGTTGATAGGACTTCAGTCCAGTGTTATTGATAGGACTTCAGTCCATGGTTGTAAGACACTTGCCCGAGAGGTGTTTGCGACAGTATGGCTATGTTTAAAGTATACCACGTCCAATTCCAGATATATTGTCTGCAGGTATTGATTAGTGGTTTTAGAGTAACTTCCTCAACTCCGGTCATGCCATCAGAGATCGAGCGGTCCATGTTCAACACCCATCATAATGTGAGGATGGTTACTTAGAATGGTACCTCATTGTATCACATCAACGCATCATCCCACCCCTAGCGATGATGGGCCTTCTGATGACCAGGTGTCTGTTGATGAAACGTCGCTGCCGCCTCCTCCAGTAGATTACATCGATGACCAGCAATGCTTACAGATGATTGTAGTGATAACAGATGAGCTCATGGGTTTGGTAAACCCAAATGGTGACGTTTATGTTGGATTAGCTCGGATTGCACACCTAGCCCGTGTAAAGCCTATTTAGATATATTTTTTATTATTTGTATTATATGTATATTATTCAAAGATCTTTTTCGAAATATTTTATTAGCTAATATTAGTGATCTCCCTTAAATTGGAGTGTGAAGGTTA